GGGCCACTAGCTTGTGCGGGCCACTAACTTGTGGATTACGTTAACTAATCGCTCGGCCAAGGGACTAGTCCTCATTTGGCAGACTCCTTATCGATAGCATTGGACCCAAAGTGCCGTGGGAAGGGATAACAAGTACTCAGTTTTCTCGCTATTCATCAAGCTAGTCTCCTTTCCAATTTCTTTCAACCTTCCAACTCTAACACCTTTGCGCATCTCCTCTACTATCATCCTATCGCGACGATCAATTGCCTTTCCCAAAGGTAAACCCGCTGATTGAACCAGAGTTGGAACCGAGCTGGAAGCCAGAATTGTTGCTGCCTGAAAATACAACACTCGTTAACCCTCGCGCATGACTAGTAACTTTTCCAAGAGCTTCTTCCAAAGCCTTATCCTGCTGGGCAGCGATCTCCTGTAACATCGAGATGCCCCCGTTCGTACCGATCGCAGCCACCTCTTTCTGGCAGAGTCGTTGCTGGAGCGCTTGACTGGCCGGAAAGAGTTCTACGAGGTTGCCGACTAGCTCGATGACATCCTCAAGCAGCCTTCTAAAGCGCTTTTCCTCGTACAACGCCCATTTCGCCTTTCCTACTAGACTGGTCCGGTTTTGCCGGTCGATAGATAGTTGCCGCATTTTCCGATGAAGATCTGCATTTGTAGGTTCGAGATCAGTTTGCGGATCGAATACTGCAAGGCTGCTGTCACCAGCCTTTGTCCGAGTCTTGTACTTCTGCGACACGCCTTCAGCTTCATCAAACAAGGCGAGGATTTGGCCCAGTAGAGCTTTGGCCTGGTCGGTGTTTTGACGCGAACCAAAGCGCTCATCTAGCGATTGTATGTCTTGGGGGTTGTCGCCTAATCCTAGGGAAGCGCCCCAGCGAGACAGACGGAGCCTCGCATTGTCAAGCTTGAGTTGACTCGTCTGGAAGTCCTTTCCAAAGTTGCGGCCAAGCTGGATGAATTCGAAGCATTCGACAGTGGTGTTGAAAAGTGTGGCAAGAGCGAGAACACTGACAGCAAGGCCAGCAGGTTCTGCCATTGATCAGAACAGGTGTGGGGAATAGGAAGCGTAGGCCGGAGAGGAAGATTGTAGAAGAGTAGTGGACGTAGGATTCAACAAAGGTTTTGCTGTGAACCTCTACTCCTTGGATTGTTTGTTAGAATGCGAACACGTTGCTCGCAATCGGCGTTGGGCTAAATATCAGCCTTGTGAGGTCCTGGGATACAGAGCTATCAACAGCATACAGCAGACAACAATATCAACATGTACGCAGGAGCTGTATTGTGGTATTAGGCGTATCTTTCGTGTGTAGGAACTGTAGCGTTTTCATCTCGGAGCGCGCACGGCTGTGCAGTAAGATATTACTAAAAACCATTGTATTAGTCTTGCTGTGCCTCATTCTCCACACATAAAAGTTACGCCGGATACTACAATAGGCATAAGGCGCCTCCCAAGGCGGATATGCGTACAGGGATCGGCATGGACTTAGCAAGTGTTCAGTCTAATCGCCGGGCGAGCCGCTCCATCCATCGCTCACCGCTGAGCTATTACCACAGTGTTTTCAGTCGTTTCTCGGTCACATGACCAGATTTAGCCAATCAGATCCAGAGCCGCCATCAAAACTTAGTCATGTGACCGAGAAACGACTGAAAATACTGTGGTACCCTCAACACTTTCCACTACATTCTTGCGAAATGATTAATTCTATATGGATTTACTGCTAGAAAGCTCCGCCAACCGGTCGCATGTTCAAAGCTCCCGCTTCTTTTCCATCTGGCGCCAGCCTAATTTCGCCGTTCCAACAAGGCTGCGAGGCTGACTAGACTTATATTACTAAGTACGTATTAGCGAATCAGTCCGTGGGGCAGATATGTATGTATGCCTTGCTACAGGGGAACTTTGAATCTTTTCCTATCTAATAGGTAGATTTTAAAATGCCTCAGCGCCATAGAGCTAAAGAAACAAGTTAATTCAAGCCTCATCATAAGCAGAAGCAAATAAACGGATTCTCGTACCCATGTAATGTGCCAATAGCAGGCGGACCGACACCTCCAAAACAGCACGAGTCTGCTCAGCCCCACAGCCTTGCATAGGAAGGCAGATTTCAGCTAAAGCTCAGCCTGAAGGCAAAGAGCACTCATCGTCAACTCTCAGACTTGCAATCGACCAGCAAGCATCAAGATCGTCGGGTTCAAAATGGCCAATCCTACTTTCAACTCCACGTTCTCGGGTTCGAGTAACCAAGGATTGCAAGTTGGGCATAACCCGGGCCAGATTGAGGCCCACTTCCACCAGGCTCGTAAGTTGCTGGTTGCGTCAGTCTGCCTTAGAATAGACATAGTAACGCTAACAGCATTCTGCTTTCCCCTAGAACGACCAGAGGCCCCACCGAGCCCTTCCTGCGTCGTCCCCTTTCGCCGCGACCCGGATTTCGTCGATTGCGGAACACTGCTCGATCAGATACGCGAAGGGTGCTCCGCGCCGGCATCTCGCATAGCGCTGGTGGGCCTGGGGGGTGTGGGGTAAGCTAAAAGGACACTTAGGCGAGTGCTTCGACCTAACGTAGGCACAGGAAATCGCAGCTTGCTATCGAGCACTGCTATCGAACCACGGATCGGTCGCCAGAGACGTGGGTATTCTGGGTACATGCCAGCACCGCGGCCCGCATTGAACAAGGCTACCGAGACATCGCGGACCAAGTTAAGCTGGCTGGCCGGAACGACCCGAAAGCGGATGTGTTCAAGCTTGTCCACAACTGGCTCCGCAATGAAGAGAACGGAAAGTGGCTGCTGGTTCTTGACAATGCCGACGAAACCGCTGCTCTCTCTCTACCAGCGAGCAATGGCACCCGGCGTTACTTCTCGTCATATCTGTCCCAGAGCAAGAACGGCTCGGTGCTGGTCACCAGTCGGACAAAGAGCGTGGCATTGCAGCTAGTAGAGGAAAGAGATATCATACCTATCAAGCCCATGGATGACACCAGCGCACAAGCTCTTCTACAGAAAAAGCTTGGAGAGGAAGCCGACAAAGACGGCGCTGCCGAGCTAGCGGATGCCCTCGAATTCATGCCACTTGCTCTCGTACAGGCGGCGGCGTACATCCGACAACGAGCAGCAAGGTGTTCGGTGCAGCAGTACCTAGAGAAATTTCACAAAAGCGAAAAGGAAAAGACGAGCCTTTTGAACTCTGACGAGGACAGTCTTCGGAGAGATAAAGAAGCTAAGAACTCCATTCTCATAACGTGGCAAATCTCGTTCGATCACATACTTGAGGAAAGGCAATCAGCAGCAGATCTGCTGTCATTAATGAGCTTCTTTGACCGGCAGGGAATTCCCGAAAGTCTCATTCGCGTTCGAAGTAGGACGAGGATCAGACATTGGGCCCCAAACGCTACGAATGCAGACGGCGAATACAGTAACAGCGACAGTAGCGAGTCGGAAGCTAGCCTTGATGACGGATTCGAAGAGGATATTCTTATGCTAAGAAACTACTCGTTCATCGGGCTTACCACCGATACAACCACGTTCGACATGCATAGGCTTGTGCAGCTCGCCACACGGAAGTGGTTGGAAGGGCAGAGCCAACTAGAAATATGGAAGGAACAGTACATCGACAATCTTTGCACAGCATTTCCGAACGGGGAACACGAGAACTGGACTCAATGTCAGGCGCTCTTTCCGCATGCTAAGTCGGCGCTGTTGCAGCCGCCTAAGTCTAAGGAATCCCTTAGACGATGGGCTCTATTGTTGTACAACGCGGCCTGGTATGCGTGGCGAAAAGGAAGTCTAGGTGATGCTGAGGAACTGTCGATAAAGTCAATGAAGATTGAAATAAAACTGCTTGGTAAAGAGCATAAGGACACTTTAAGCAGTATGGCGATGGTAGGGCTAGCAAGAAGTCATGCAGGACGGTGGACAGAAGCTGAAGAGCTACAGGTGCAAGTAGTAGAGACAAGAAAGAGGGTGCTTAGGGCGGAGCATCCAGACATGCTAAGGAGCATACACAACCTAGCATCAACGTACTGCAATCAAGGGCGGTGGAAGGAGGCCGAAGAGCTACAGGTGCAAGTGATGGAGACAAGGAAGAGGGTGCTTGGGGCGGAGCATCCG